AGGACAGAGGCTGACACACGAAAACACATTGGAAGAGCGCATGCAGGGATTCATCCCACGAACGGCGAACGAAAAAAACAGACAGTTAGGTCACCTCATTTTGACCATGATCAATTCTTAACGACTGACTTCGGTCAAGCGTTAGTCAAAATGATGCCGTCATAAACAGTTGCTGCGCGGTCGTCTCAGGCGCCCGTCACACACGAAGTCATTCTTTATACTTTAGTTGGATAGTTTATGACGGCCCACACGAAAAGCTGTATATACAATTTCTACATATAGTTATTTACATATTAATTTCGCGGAATGAGTGTCTCATATTCAATGTGTATGTGTTACGTTATAGGAAACTCGAAGTAGTCGAGTGGTTAAAACTAGTGGCGTGCGATTCGTTTAATGGCTACGCATAAGAGCTTCGCCAACTTCACTTTGCATGCTGCCCTCCCGAAAGCATGAATGTAGCCAAATGTTTCAAGAATACGGCACGTTTTGTACCTGAGCGTACCTTTTAAGCCGGCCCTCACTGGAAGGAGCGCTATACGCGGCGTCAGCGTTGTCCCTCGACGTTGTAACCTTGCTGTGATTACACGAATTGCGTGACCTACTGGTGTACTCATGCATGATTCAAGAATTTTTGTAGCCTGTGCAACCACTATGCCATACGAGCCTTTACGGCATGCTTTATCTTTATTTAAGCAACTTTCTGTCCCAAGTGCTTAGGCGTGCTTCATTCATTCATCGTCAGCCTGACTACGTTCACTGCAAGACAAAGGCCTCTAAAATGATCCGCCAGCGAACTCAGTCCTGTGCTTGCTGCTGCCACTTTATACCTGCAAACTTCCTGATCTCATCTGCCCACCTAACTTTCTGTTTCCCCCTCGTGCGTTTGCCTTCGCTGGGAATCCAGTCAGTTACCCTTAATAAACAGCGGTTATCCTGCCTACGTACTACATGCCCTGCCCATTTCTTCTTGATTCCAACTATGACAACCTTAACCCCGGTTTGTTCCCTGGTCCACTCTGCTCTCTTCTTGTCTCTTAAGGCTACACCTATCATTTTCTTTTCCATCGCTCGCTGCGTCGCCCTCAATGTAAGCTGAACCCTCTTTGTGACCCTGCAGGTTTCTGCTCCGTATACGTAAGAACCGGCAAGATGCAGCTGTTATATACTTTCCTCTTGAGCGACAGTGGCAACCTACCTGTCATGATTTGAGAGTGCTTAATCAATATGCTCCACCCCATTCTTATTCTTTTCGTTACTTCAATCTCGTGGTTCGGCCCCGCGGTTATTACCTGTCCTATGTAGACGTAGTCTTCATTACCCTAGCACAATTTCACGTTCTGCTGCACGCACAGTATTTGCGCACAGTTTCGGAACTCGCATACCAGTGATTATGACTCCCGAAACATTGTGTGAGCACACTGGTATAAAAGTAGTCCTTTCTTTAGACTCTGTATTTGGAGCTGTTTATAGAACACTAATAACACAAGCTAAGTTAAGGAATCGAGGGGGTCTGTTTTTTTTTTTTAGACAAGATCATACGAATATAGTAATATCTGGAGTTTTACGTACCAAAATCACGATATGATTATGAGAAACACTCTATATAGGGGCGGGCTCCGGAAATTTCGACCATGTGGTGCTTAACGTGAGCTGACATCTCGCAGTAAACAGGCCTCCATCATTTTGCTTCCATCGAAATGGGACCACCATGGCCAGAATCGAACCCGCGACAGACAAGACCCTACAAAGCTAATGAATAATGGGCCAAGACTTATTATCCGTCAGCTCCACATGGTTTCGTCAAACATATTTATTAGCTTCGTATTTGGTTCTGTCTAACAAGAACAGACCACCCTCGATCCCTTAAATTTGCTAGTGTTTATTAATCTTAGGCCATTATCGATTAGTTTCGCATATAGTCTAACAAAAAAACAGTCCACCTCGGTTTACTGTGTATTAATGTTAACTACCCCGACACACATGCGCCAGTGATAGTTGCCGAGTTCAGCAACTGCTTCGAACTCGCTTTGACTGCAAGTTTATGATACCCTTTCACAGTTCCATTGCAACAGCACATTGCAAACATGTACCGTAGTTATTACAGGCTATCACTAAGCAACTTGGTTTGACAAGCCCCTTCTGCCTTTTTCAGACCCTATGTTTACCCTTGACAACATTGATTATTCCCATAGTTAAACTTCTGACGTTATCTGACGAGCTAAAGCTATCCGTCGTAACTAGATGTATTTGTAAACATATATGGTCAGCACGTTACAGATTAGTTGACACTATCTGTTGTAAAACGATAAAAAAAAAGATGAGATACTTTGTTTGGAATACTGCTGCATAGTCGCTTACAAGACAAAACTGATTGTGTTGTACAACTCGAACATCACGGCCAGCGCAGTAGTTGATTAGTACTGAAAGGTGAAGGCGAGGAACTGAAATGCCAGGTTTTATTTATTCGAGTTCAATTTCGCCATCGAAACTAAGTGGAGAAATGGCAGCGCTAATGTTGGCACATGCCCGCGCAATCTGATCCACAAAGTGCCTTTTAGAATCACGAAAACCTGCTCTTCCTGAAGTAAGAGAGAGTTTGATAACGGTACCTTGTACTTTGACTCCAAGTTAGTGGTGGTTAGGGGTTAAGTTAGGTCGGCCAGCAAGTTGCGATGAGCCCAGCCAAAGGCGGGCTACAGCTAACACCACGATGCACGAGATAAACTGCAGGGTGCGAGAAAGTTTCTATGCTCGCGGTTGCGCAAACATATAGGGTGACGCTTCGCGAAGCGGAAAAAAGAAAAAAAAAAAAAAAACGCGGTGCGTATAGTCGCCGCTGCAGATTAGGCGTGGCCATGCGTAAACACTCGCAAGGAGACAGACTCTCGGTATCCTTTATCGCTCCAAGGTGTGCTACCCACACTACCGAACGGTAAACACTTCCAGAAAGCGCCTGCTCCAAGATGCGCCTTTCTAGATTAGTGTAGAACTATCGCACGATTTCGCGGCCAATACGGAACACACTATAAATCGAGGTTTGGTTTATAGTATAACTAAATGACATACGCGGCAAAGTTACGCTGAGAGAATGCTCACATTGAATTGAAGCAAAGAGGCCTCACACGTAAGGCACTTCGTACAGTATAGCTATTCGTAGATGTCACTTGGTATAAGGGTTTTTACGCTAAAAAAATTGCTCAGAAAAATCTTCACTGAACAGTTGCACGCTTTTTTTTTTTTTGTTCAGGTGGCAGAGCACGGTACGCATAAAATGAAAGCAAAATAATGAAACACTACAAATGCTAATGTTTGCAGGAACATAAACCTTTGCTTTGGCGTGAAAGTTCAGAAAATTTTGCCTATGGCCCTAGCTACACAAGTTAGAAGGTCGGCGTTACTTTTGGAATATAAACAACGTACTTAGTTCGTTTCTCGTGTCCGAACTAATTACACAAGCTCTTCGCAAATACATTGTTTTCTAGAAGATGTATGAAAATGTTCTAATTTCCTGATTTTCCGGCAATCGCATGTTACACCAGCGACATGTGTACCACTGTAGCGTGTTGGATTAGCGCCGTAGTGGTCATCATCACGCTGCAAGGTAGTTCGCACTATATATATATATATATATATATATATATATATATATATATATATATATATACGATTTCTTGTATCTCGATGCGAGCTGACAGCGTACTCTTTTCACCGACGCATCAATTTGCTTTCACCGACACATCAATTGTTAACACGCAGAGCGCATTCAGCGATTGCGTAAAAAAAAAAAAGTTTATAGAGCTCTTGGAAAGTGGTAGGTCGTTTTATTAGATTAGTTTGCATAAGAGATAAACTAAAGGCACAGAAAAATTAGGTATGAATGTTCAAATATCACAAAGTTTGCCAATATCCTAGATAATTATGTTCTCCAGATGAAAGGGAGTAAAAAAAAAAAATGTCGCTACTGCTGGGAACTGCCCTCCTCTTTCTTTTTTTTTCAGACAGCAAGACATTGATTGATATGTGGGGTTTAACGTCCCAAAACCACTATATGATTATGAGAGACGCCGTAGTGGAGGGCTCCGGAAATTTAGACCACCTGGGGTTCTTTAACGTGCACCCAAATCTGAGCACACGGGCCTACAACATTTCCGCCTCCATCGGAAATGCAGCCGCCGCAGCCGGGATTCGAACCCGCGCCCTGCGGGTCAGCAGCCGAGTACCTTAGCCACTAGACCACCGCGGCGGGGCAGACAGCAAGACAATGGACATTGCAGCTCGAAACGACATTCGCACTCTGTATTAAACGAGCACAATATGTTGACACATCACGGAAAAGCGGGTTTCCAGGCCGAGTTGCAGAGCGCACAAAGCGAAAGCAGGCGGCTTTGTTCCCAATGATCGATAACAGCGCAGCTGCTCTTGGCGTACCGCCGGAGAAGTTACTCTAAGGAAAGAGTCCCGTAAGAAAGTTCTCTTCGGAAGTTAGGCAACTCGGGTTCCCATCGATGACGGAACCTCGAAGGAACACGGATTATCTTCGCCGTGAAAGGAAACCTGTTCGCAAGGTAGCTTAGGTCACTTTTAGGGCTCGTGCGCAAGTATGTTCGGCGACGAAGCGCTCTTGGCTGTTCGTGACACGCCGCGAAAACTAACCGCACGAGTACGTCGTAAAAACAAAAAGGAAGTCGTGAGGAACAGCGGCCGAATAAACAATAAAATGGTGGGACGTCACGCAGCGGGGCGTAAAGTACGGGAGAACCGGTTCCGGAATTAAAGAAGTCGTGAAAGAAATGCTGAACCGTAAGATGCAACGTCGATGGTAGCGTGCGCTTCCTACAGTCGATCGAGTAATCACCTTGTATCGTTACTGCGTAGCATATGAAACAAGTTATCGGCGTGTTTTGTCGCGGCACAAACTTGCGACACGCAACGGCACGCACTTGTGGGCGGTCTACAAAAAAGGGAGCTAATGCACGATTTCGGAGGCTCGCTCTTACCTGTCCCAAGTATTCGAAGCCGTGCTTGTTCGCCAGCTCCTTAGCCAGCTCGGCACCTCCTTCGACGTGAACCACAAATTGGTCGGTGTAAACTTCCGCGCTCTTTATGGGACCCACGAAGAAGATCAACGCGACGGCGACAGGCAGTATCCGAGTCATGTTGACGTTGCAATGCACGGGACGCCACGCACGAAGCACATGTAAAAGCGGCCTGTGACGAACACACGCAAAGCTATGCTTTGCCGAAGCACCTAACTAGCCCGACTTCCTTTCGAGTTGGCTGCTGTCCGGGAAAATTTTGTGCCCCCAAGTTTCACGTGGAATTTTGCATGCCGGTTCTGTGGGCAAGTGGGCTTGTTCCTGGGCTTGGCCGTTGTCGGGGCATAGGGCGCTTGACGTGTGTGCCAGCCGTTGACTGCGACGGCCGATGAGTGAGTCGCCCAGTGCCCGCTCCCGGCCGCCGACAGCCAGCGAGGTATGGGGCGCCCGAGCGCGTTGTTGATATCGACGGTGGCGCCGCCGCTAGGGCCACGCGCGGTGGTGACGCAACCAATTACGTCATTCGTTACGAAAGCTGAATCAGCCTCTTACGTATTCACGGCGCTTAATGCTTCTGAGAATGGCTTGGTTAGCTTTGTCAGGATATACGTGGTAGTGTAAAACTAGAGGTTAATACAGCTGCGGTGGCACAGTATAAACGATGTATCATTCTGGCAAACCAATTCCAAATCAAGGCATCTGAGTCGCGAACAACGTTAATATATAGGTTAACGGCTATATAGTATGCTAAGGATACTTCCATTCTTGAGTATGTGCGCGCAAACATCATATGTAATAGATTCCATCAATGGTGTCAAACCTTGAGCACCTCATTTCGACACACTGCGCACGTATAATAAATCCTACAAGTAGTCAGCACAATATCACAATATACCTGAGGTAGCGCGACTTTTATTCAGTTTATAGCGCGAACATGGCCATCTTTTATCAACTTTATCGAAGAAAGCAGCTCGGCCCTCGACAGCACAGTTTCGGTTTCGTTTTGGCATTTTACAGAGCGCAAGCTATGGTGTTTCTCGCATTGTCATTAACATCAAGAACAAAATGGCCGCGCTCAGAGCAGTTGTAAAGCTCAACCCAAGTAAGAAACTTATTTATTAATTTAGAACGCACGTGCAGTCTTGTCTCGTGTTAATATTTTGCGCGGTAACTTGCGCACTCTCATCTTGTATATATGCACACATTGAATGTTGTTGCCGCTTGAGGCGACGCGTAATTATATGCGGACCACTACTTTCTTGCAGGAATCGTGTGTCCGCTGGTAAATCAGGTACGATACCGGCGGATTCGTGGGCGAAACCCAAGAGAGCCTCATCTTGAAAAGAAGATGATTTTGGAAGTCTGCAAGCCTATCATACCGCGCCGCTCAGAGCCGGATTGGGAGAGATGCGGCATGGCCAAACGTATTGATGTCGAAAGAGAGGTTTGTAGTAGTAGTAGGCTTTTTATTTCTAGTTTCATCAACAATGAGATCTGATCTAAACCTCAGTTTTATGGAGAGCAGCACATGCACTAGCATTGCACTGTTTAAACTATTGCAGTAAATCTTTCATTGAATGACGATAACGTTGCATGTACAGTACTCACGGACTGAAACGGGACACTCGGAGCGTGTGGCCGACGGTACATGTGCCGCCGCCGCTCGTGGGTGCGCGTGGAACCAATGTGTTGCATTGTGGTATAGAGCGAGGGGGAGAACACCTACGGAGCAGGATAACGTTTTCTGGTCGCCAAAGTGTCGGCCTATAGTAGTTCACCATGTGTACATTGCCAGGGTGGCGTTGCAAGGCTCACGCACCTTCGCATGTAGTCCGCACTAACTCGCTGCTGCGCACTACTTTTATTGCGGCGCCAGCAGACGACCCTCTCGTTCTGAGTGCTTATGCGATGCTGTAGGCATTCTGTGAAAGTATAAGACACAAGATTCAGTTAGGAGATTGCGCCTTGTGTATGTTTGTATAGCTGAGAAACATCTGCATAAAACATTGAAAGTTTTTTTCTCATGCTTTCTGCCTCGACAAAAAAAATTGTGGCAGGGTTGCCTCCATGCAACATAGAAATAATATTGTATTAGTGTCGCTAGGGTAAACTGTGGCCTATCATTGAATAAATACCCGAGCCGCAATATCGGCTGCTCGGGTTCCTACAACAAAATACTAAGCGATTCTTTTAATGCTGCACAGAAACAGGCCCGTGGATGCTGCTTTTCTTTTTCGTCATGACAAAAGCTTGACAAACTTTATATGCTTTTGTGGAACTGTTTATCATGTCTACTTGCACATGTCAGGCGCAATGTCTTAGCTGTATCCCATATTTTACTTACGTAGCCTATGTGCCTCATCGTTGGAAGGCACAGATCGAGAGCGTCGTCTGCTTGAATGGTGCCCACCATCCACTCAATTCGGGCTGCATGCATGCGCAAGCGTGCGGGCCTTGCACCACCACGCTGACAGTGTCCGCTCTGTGAACTAAGTGCCGACTCTTTAGAGACCGGAAGGAGTAATCCTGCTCTGTAGGTGTTCTCTTCTTCACTCTATACCACAATGCAACGCCGTCGGTTTCGCGAACGCCCACTGGGCACCCGCACATGCACCGGCGGCCACACACTATGAGTGTCCTGTTTCAATCTGTGAGTACTGTACTCACTATTCTTCATGTTCGCAACACAAGGAGAGATACAGAAAACAAAACCCAGATTGAGTGCTTTCCTGGAATTTACTTAAAGCTCAGTTTAGCACAGTTTGAATCAGCGAAATAGCAGCTGTAACTCAGCAGGCTGATCGCCTGTAGCGTACAGCGCCATGAAAATTGTGCAAGGTGATCGTTGGAGAAAGACTGCCAGTGAGAAGTGTGTAGGCGCGTGTCTTAAAAGGATAAATGTAACCACAAATCAGTACTACATAATATGACAACACCGAACAAAAACTAGTTGCGGGAAACGGTCGGTTACCAGGCTTTTACTACTAAGTCGAATACTCGTGTTTGATGATGCATTAGGTGATCAAAATTAAAATTTTGCACTCATAACTTTCCTCACTACATATGACACTGTTTTACTTGAACTACTGTTCACATTGTCATATCTTTTGTTACCAGGTTTTGTTGTACTTTCAGGAAAGAAGGTGTTTTTTCTTTTCTTTTTTACATATTGTGTGGACGTGTTCTTTCCTTTTTACGTCTCTTCTGTTAAATCCCGAATGTACGGCATATTTTCACTGATTTGTGAATTACATGCAGCCTTTGCGGTGGATTTTTGTCGGAGCAGTAGTCTTTCTCAAGTCACTGTCACATAACTTTGAGCTGCTGCTTCCTTTCTTACTAAACTGGAGAAATAAATTCATTCATTCATACACTTTGAGCTATATAGCGGCACGCATATTTTGTTGGATTAACCAGGAGTTTGATGTTGCAAATACTAGTGACCTAAGTTATCCATACATATTTTTACAAATATATTCACTGATTAATGACAATGAATCAAACTTAAATAAAGCTCTGCTTTAAAGCTGAACTGCCTCACTATGCCCTCGTGATCCACTTGGAGCCTATAACATTGATTGTAAACTCCTTCAACTAATATTCCACACAGTGTTTTTCAGCGGGGAGCTGACGATCGTGTTATACCTCGTTTTCTTTCAGCCACACCCATACAATAGAGTCAGAGCAAACATTCTCCGTAATGAGCTACACGAAGCTAAGCTCATTTTCTTCATGCATGAAAACCCATCCACCAGGGAAGATAGGATAAAAGTGCACAACATGCTGTTCAAAAAGGTGAGTCATACTCGGCTTTCTCACGTTTGCCCCTTAGCGTTGTGAGCTTCAAAAGTGTTACAGGGCCCCTTTAAGAACAGCACATGGTGGAAAGAAATATTATAGGCATATTACTAGCAGTCAGGAAGGCACTAGAGTCTATCAGACAACAAACAGAGATAGGTGATGTCGTAGTTTATATTAGAAGGGGGTGGGTGGTAAATGGACCTGAAATGCTCACATCGCCAGGACAGGTAGCTGACCATTAGACAAACAGAATAGGACCAGGAGATGGGATACGCAGCTATGGACGACAAAAGGGTTAACTGAGGCAATTAAGTGAAGAAACTTGAAGACGTAAAATGAAATCAGACAGCGAGAATTGGAGGTCATAGGAGTGGCTTATGCACTACAGTAGACGTGACATGCCGACGATGACGACAAACACATTTGTCCTAAAGGGGCCCTGCAACACTTTTTGAGCATGGCCAGAAAACGCTGCCGATCGGTAGTAGAGGCTTCCGACAACACGCGAACCAAATATTATAGCGCAGCACCTGGCCTTGAGTTCACAATAAATTATCAAAGCCAGCTAAAATTTGCTTTCTCTTCTCTCGACAAATGATGGAAGACCTTCAAAAATCACTCGTAGAAAGCCCATCTATCAGCCATTAGCTGATTTGAACATGGCGCGCTCGGTCGTTACAGAGGTCGCCGTGGGAGGCGGCGACTTGTCCACACATGCACGTTCGATCACACTGAAGAAGTTGCGAATTCAAAGAAAGAAAAAAGTGCCCAAGGTCACGAGGCGCGAGTGACGTATTTTTTTTTTTTTTTGCCCTGCCCTCCCTCTCTGCTTAGCTTCCAGCGCTTTCATCGGGACGAGAGAAGAGAGAATGCAATTGCAGCATGCAACAAATCTTTGTAACTCCACACGCACTGAACGGATTCTTAAAATTTTTTGCAGCAATGAGTTTGTGAGGCAATAAGCTCTTCCAGTGAATTCATTCCATGGTTACATTGAAAAGTGTTTCAGGGCCCCTTTAAGTAATGCAAACAGGCTAATGTGCTGATAATACATTTCAGTGAACATATTCTCATAGAAGATTTTCCATGAAGAACCTGAGTAGAACTTATATAGTGCTATGTTCACTTTTCCCCATTCACCATAACACAATGGCTCAACATGGTGATGAGGAACAGGGCTGGGCAGTATCGCGATAGTGTATTAGAGATACGTTCTGAGTATCTGTGTTTCTGTATCAAGATATACCTGAAGAATGCATGTATCTCTTTAGTAATATACATTACCAGTGTATCGATTTCATCATACACTGCACTGCTCTGGTATTTCAAGGTCCCCCCCCCCCCCTTTTTTTTTGTCAGAAATGATTAGACTTGTTTCTAAAGGGGAAAGGAAAACCTTTTTTGTGCTACGCTAACCAGAGGCCTGCCACCAGTTAGCATCACAGGGAGGGTCGCGAAGAGTTCCCCATCAGCATGGACTGGCCCATGTGGTAAAGGAGATAACTGCACTCTTCACATGTCAAGGAATATGTAGGGAAAATTTTGCCCTGATCTGACCATCGGAAGTATTAAAAACATGGATGTCGAACCTCAAGAAGTTGCCGAATAGTTGCAACATGAGAAAAATATGTTTTGAAGGTAAAAACCAAAGCTCGTCCCTGGTAAAAATGTTTTTTTAAATTAGTTTTTTCCATCATGAGAGCTTGGGTATCATGTTTACTTTCAGCATGTCTTCGGTGAACTCCTCAAGCGAAACGGAATTGCAAGCAGCCTGGTGGTGTTATTCAAGAGACTTAAGACGATGATCTCTTTTTTAATAGCCACCTTGTGCTCCTTAAATGCGATTTTGACCTATTTCCAGAATAAATTCACCTTGATCTCTGTTGCCATGAAAGTAGAGAAGCTGAACTTTGTGAAACAAGTAAAAACAAAAAAGTTTAATTTTGGAAAAAGCCTTGTATTGAAATTTCAAGTAGAATCTCTTTTTAAGGTGACAACATATACATATGGTTGTGGTTGCTACAATGTGGATCCAGAAACACCATTTCCAATATATTTCCATGCCCCATTACCACTTCTAAGGTCACGTCAAAGACCTAATCTGTTCTATGTAAGACCTTTGTCATGTGTTACCTCCAATGAGAGGGATAATGGCTTCTATGGCAAGCAGTCTTAGTGTACACTATGCCGCCACTGCTGCTGTTGTCATCGTCGTCATAGTAGTAGTGGTAGTCACGCAGGTCACACGATCAGAGGGGAAGTCAATAAAGAGGTAAATAAAACAAAATGCTGATGCTTGAGATGATAATTCAATTGAGTTTATGCTGTCTTAGTCTACACCCATATAAATTCATATGCTTACAGCTTTGCTGTTCAGTGGTTTTTACAGCGTGTAAATGACAGAATTTTAATTTTTGTTTTTTTCCCTTTCAGTTTAAAACGGAGATTTTTTCAAGCCCTTTCCAGTGTTTTTGTTTATAGTTCAAACATAGTATTTTTGCCTGAGGCTCCTCTCGGTCGGTGCTGTTGCACACTAGGCTTCCTGTGCAGTCAAAAATTTTGTTTGAAGAACTCGGTTGTCCGAAGCTTTATAGTACTATATTCTCTTTTGCTGGCTCTCCTCATATATAGAGAAAAAGAAATTCTCTTGCATGTTCCAACTGTTTTTTTTTTTTCATGGAAGGCTATAAAAAGTTAATCCTGAGTGTAATTATAGCCACCTTTGATTAACAGTTTTTGCGTCTTGTGAATTGTGCTGTGAACACTGTCAGCACTTTTTATGAAAATCATGGTTTGTCATTTCAGAACTATTTTCTCAAGGCTTACAACAATGAAACAGTACGCCTAGCCATTCGGGGCACCAAGTTTGAATCTGCAACGCCTTTCACGCTGTCTCGAAATGCCCTCATCCTAAGTCCTGAAGTAGACGTGGCAACATTCTTCAAGTTGTCCAGGAAGATGCCGCAGTTCATACTCCTCGGTAAGTAACTAAACCTGCACTACAGTAGACTCTCATTAAAATTAAACAGAACCTTGAAGGACCTGTAAAGTATGTTCTGTTTGATAATAATTTTGTTTACTGAGAGATCAACCGGAGTGTGGAATGCTAGTATGAAGTAATCAGTATTAGATGTGATCGTTTTACTTAGGAAGGAATCCCATTCATGAAATTTCTGTTTAATGAGAGTTCATTGCGCTTAACTCTGCAGTATAAATATTCAGTGCATAAACTCTTTAGTACATGTATATTATGGCTGACTGGGTGATTTGAGTTGCTTTTCTCAAAACTTGGAAGCGCAAAATCCATGAGGATGGGAGGGAACATGGAAAAAAAGGACAGGGCGCCAGTTCACAACTGTCCTTTCTTTCTGTGTTCCTTGCTCTTCCCGTCAATTTTGCACTTCCATGTTTTAAGATTATGAACCAAGTAGCCCAGCAACGCATTCTTTTGAGTTGCTTGTATTATTTATAGTTTCAGTTTTGCATGCCCTCTGACAGAAAAAAGTTGGAGGACATATGGCATGCATTGCAAATTCATAACCAGCAACATTCACCAATGTCTTAGAAAAGTGTCCAAACATTGCAGCTTATAAATGCTTGTGCTTGATAAATTAAAAAGCTCATGAAAAAGCCCTGATGAGTCTAAAATGTGAGATGAAGGCTTAAAATACAGAGTATGGATTAGAGAGCAAATAGTGGTAATTGATATGCTAGTTTACATTGAGAAGTGGACCTGGACAAGGTGTGCAATGGCATTCAGTGGCCAACTAGTGGTCTGTTAGAGAATGGATGCCATGATGAATCAATTGCAGTTGAAGTGAAATAGAGCATAGTGTCGCACACTGAAATTAGCAAATTGACTGGGATAAGATTTACTCAGCTGGTGCCGAACAGTAGTGGTGAGAGATCACTGGTAGAGTACTATGACCAGCCGTGGACATAACATGGTCTGATGACCTTGAATTGTGTGTGATTTTTCATGTGAGATTGCTTTACTTCCTTTAATTCTTGTTCTTCATTTGCTTATGGATGCAGTGGTTGCTTTACATTGTTTCGGTGCTGCATTTCCCTATCGCGATGCTTATCTAAATAATATTGTACTGAGTATCTGTTAAATAAAAAAACAAAGGAAGCTACTGGCAACTTATACCTTTGTTTGAATTAGCAATACGTAAGCAGAACATGTAAATGTTCTGCTTACGTCCAAAGCTTTACTTTACCAAATGTAAATGTAAATGTTGCTTTGAAAATTGCTTTTTGAAACATATGCAGCTGGCATTGTCCATGGACGTTTCCTCAGTAGGGACGAACTGCAGTGGTTGAGCACAGTGCCAAACATCGAGTACCTTCAAGGACAGACGTGTGCAATCCTTGCATCAATGGCATCAAGGACTCTCCAGATCACATCCCACCACCAGACTAAGTTATCCCAACTTCTAGCAAGCCATGCCAATCCTCCCGCAAATCCTGGCAAGGAAAGCGCGGCTAATGACGAAGCACCAGCCCAATCTTCATAATGGAACTGTAATGCGTGCATAGCGCATAGTAAATATTTTACGATGTTGCCAGATGTTCAGTGCATTTTATTGTGCTATTGATTGGTCACCCGCCTGTTGATTTTCTTTAATAGATATCATTGCACTTTTTAGGTGCAGAGTTTCAAAAATTACCGAACGTATATAAAGCCTGAAGAATTTTTTTCCCTCTACATTTTCCAGGCTTAATCTGGCGTTGTATCTAGAGTCACACAATGGACACGTGTCTTCTGATGTTTATTTTCAGACTTTGCATGATAGTTAAAATTTCTAAATGCTAATTGAGAGTGCCACTTGAAAAAAAAAAAAAAAAGCTCAGTTTTTGTGCATGTCATTCCTTCAGAAGTTGGGTAGCTCTTGTTCCCAACTGTTCCCACAAAAAAAAAAAAAAAGTGCTAGGTTACTTGTCAACATTGTCAGTTATACTCTATATTCACAATATTCACAAAAGGGGTTCAGTAAACTTTAAAAAAAAATGTACATAGCATTGGAACTTACTGTTACATTAACAGTAGCGGCACTAAAGAAGTACACGATGCATAAAAATTTGATGATACATGAGTGGCACAAGGGCACTGAACACAATTGCACCCTTGGGTTGCCAACTTAAGGTTGCTAGATTGAACTATGATCTTAATACAGCTTGTTTTAGCTAGCCTATGCACTCAAGAATGTGTATTAAAAAGAAATGTTTTACAAATAACTTGAGCAAAATCTAAGCTTTTCACTGCCTTGAAGTTAAACACCTCATTTCCTTATTCCAACTAGGCCCTTCTCTGTTCAGCATCAAGAATCGAAATAATATGAAAGCACATGGGATCTACAAAATCAAGAACGTAAACTTACAATTTACATACTCTTGCAAAGTAAACATAACTGCGTGTAAGCGAAGCTTTTATCATAAGAACAAGCTTGTCGCTGATTATTTTACAGAAAGCGCATGTACATATGAAGAGAGCTGGGTGCACACCGGGCGGTCACGACACCTCTTCAGCCACTTTGAAATGCAGACCGCAAAATGCATCTTGCAGTGCCCTCTGGCATGCTAGCCCCGCCAGGAAACCTCCAGCCTCCTCCGCTTCCACCGTAGCCCGCACGTGGTTTGTGTAGCCTAAAGGTGAAAGCGACTCCAAGCTCGGGGCTGTTGGCCCGCAGATATCCACTGTGGGGGCTGTGTACTTGTACAGCGGGCCTTCGACAATCTACGAAAATGATGCGATCCAGCTTAGTCACCTAAGCTGCGGCAGTTTTGTGGAGCAACGCTTCATGGAAAGTGCTGTTCCCATAAAGTTTCAAACAAAAGTGTCTTGGGGGAACAGCAGGCTTAATATAAGTCAAGCAAGCATGGAAATAACGGTTATAAATGACCATGTTACTTTCAGAACTGATGATTCGTAATAACATACCGCATTAAAAAGCCACAATTTTCAACGACAATACATAGTATGTACAATAGCATTTCTTTGCTTAAAATAATACAAATGGTTAAAAATGTAAAGGATAAAGTGTAATAAGCAAGAACTCGAGGTTAGGCAAATCTATGAATTGACCATCAAACCAAATGGGGCTGAACGATTGCCATGTGAGAGTTCCTCTAAGAATGTTTCTAATGGCGTATTCGGTTGGACACTCCGGTCCTCTGGCTCGAAATTGCTAGATGTGGAGACAGCTCGCAATCACAGCACGAGAAGCAACATGCCAACCGTATAAGTCGGAAATCTCGGGACAGTATACCTGTAGCACTACCGTGCAACCAGTGTGGGAAGCTGCGGGGTAAACATTCCTGCGGTAGATCTAGGAATGGCGCCGACCAGTTCAGTGGGCCTCTCCGACATGTGTGGATGTGGCGACAGCCTTCTGAGCTTAACTTATAAATACAGTGATCATCGTCCGAGCTGCTACGTTCAAGTCAAATCATGTGGCTGTCTGTGAGCTGCTGTAACGACAGCATTGACGTTTCCTCTGCCTTCATTAGCTGCCTCCTAACTGACATGGTGTATTTATGGCTTTGTAGATGTGGACACACCACGCACACACGCTCAGAAACGCCACTAAGAACGCATATGCACAAAGTATCACGCACGCAGTGATGTCCCCTTCCGAAATGCACGCTCGTGCCGTTTTCACTGTTCACCTGGTTCACCTGCAGCCACATGATTTGACGGATTGTGTCACATGATTTGTTCTCCTTACCACATCACGCCAATCTTTCTTCTCAGAGCGGCGAAGAGTGCTCTGAGTCAGAGGCTGACGCTACGAAAGAACCAACGGAAGGTAGTCCAAGCGCCCGCACTTTACCAAACGAATGCGCAGCTCTGAAAACGGAGTGCAGCGCTTGTAAACGCTTAATCGAATATGCCATAAGCCTTGCCACAACAAAATGTAGTGGTACTAGTTATCTTGAGCTCAGCCAGTGGCAAGGCTGACCCTATTTGGGATGCAACATGCTAGGCTCGTTGAATGAATGAAAAATGGGAAAGTAAAGTTTGATGTACCTTCTGTCGTTAACTGTACCTACAGAATGTACATTTAAGGTGTGATTGCGGACAGAAAAATTAATCACAGCGTGTTTTTAAAAAGCTACTTTTGGTTTTCACTGTACCCTGATGTAGCGACACACTATGAGCTTCTCTTAACACACTCGCGCAAGATATGATGTTTGCACAGCCCCTTTGCTCTCTGGTACTGTTGGTGATGCACAAGAACCTATTTTGTATGTTTCAGTAGCTCACATCAATGCAACTAATCATACTGTTGCATGACATCATCAGAATTAATGCGGCAGCCGGATGTCGTGCTAGTTTCGATGCCAGTAGGTGTGCCATGTGAAAATTCACTTCATAGTAAACACTTCAACCCTTTCATGAGAGACACATGTAAAAGACAAATGGGTATAAGAAGCAACAATGTGCCTGTGCCGATATAAGAGCTGACAAGTAAATGGAAACATAGTACCTTGCTCAGAAGAGGCCCTTCATATAAAACACAAAAATTGCTTCTCAGTGCATGTCCGTCCCTTATAAAGGGGTTCAACTCTATGTCAAAATAAAATATCAGCATTTCCTGAATTTCACACTTGCTGATAGCAGTCTCTGTATACAGGAGATCGGGGTGGCTGAGTAAACTCAGCTTTGGAATATTAGGAGAATATTTCTGTCCAACAAAAAACAATCATCTATCTTGTGTGCTTTTCCTAGTGTTACTACAATGCACCTGGTAGTTCCAAGTCACGAACCTGTGTGCAAGCTACGAGCAATAGCATATAATTAGATGGACATTGTAGCTAAAGAAAGATATGTCCGATATAGTATCAGTAGTGCCTTATGGAAACAAATGCAATAAAAGCAACAAGTCCTTTAGTATGACAATGTAATTTGTTGTGTTTTGCAGTTTCTCCAATGAGACAACCAGTATAACCCAGTCTTTAACAACGTAAAAGCCTTGCTTTTGAGTATGTAATCATGTTACCCTCAGAAGAGGCAGGTAATTTACCCCAAGCTATTACACACACAATAATTAATTAAAGTAAGTTCATTATGACTGAAACTCTCTGTGAATGGAAATGCTTGTGACAACTCTTTGTTGTTGTTACAATTATAAACCCTGGTCTAGTTTGTGCAGCTTTCATTCATAAAACTGTAACTCTTGGCACAAATAAGCAGTTCGTTTCTGCAGTAACTGTAGAAAACATCCCAAAAGAATAACAAAACATAGATGCCATATTTTCTCACTTACAACCCAACCCCTACATATAATCTGCGTCCTCAACTATAACCTGGTGAAAATTTTATAGAAGGGGTCTTTGCATATCATTCACACATTTCAACCGTGCAAATTAATTTTACACATTCAATGAAACAAGCTCATTGTTATGCATGAAGAATGCAAGAACATTACTTTTTCTAGATTTCACTTCCAATATAATTTCCTCTTGTGAACTTCCAGTCAACTTCAGCAGCTAATGCCACATTCTTTGCATTTCCTTGAAGACACCTTCCTAGCATTGCTGGGATGCCGCTTTTCACACTGAAATTTGCAAATTACCTGACCCCAACTTCAGGGCCACAAGTTTTGCTGTATGTTTTGTATGCGTTATGCACGAGCAAATATGGTAATGTGAAAGTATAGTATAGCTGCTTGTTACACTTAACCAGGCTGCAATTCACAAACGTACAAATGCTGCTGTTAAAGACAAATGAAAAATAAAAGAAGCCAGTAAGACGACAGACCTTTGGTACTGGAAGGAAAGCCTCCTTCGGTCGGAACTTTATGCCCGTGGAGAACTCCGCAGAAAGTGGCTTTGGAGGTAGCGGTTTTGGGCCTGCCACCTGCTTAAGCTTGTCTCCATGGCTAGCAAGGATTTTGCTGGCCGGCATATCCGAGAACATTAGGTCATCGATCAGTGACTCCTTCTGTTTGAGTTTCTCACGCTGTGCTGCTTTCTCCACTTCTGCCAGCTGGTCTCGTCTGTGGACGCAAAAGTAAGCAATTAGAATTGCACTACCCGTGCAAAAATCACCCATGATAATCATAAAATCCCAAGCAAGCGCCCCCTTTACCGTGAAAGATAATCGGACAGATTTCGGGAGGAACCCTTGCTGGGTGGCAGACCAAAATTCACGATGGCAAAGGAAGAGCCTCTAAGAAAAATATGCAATTGTGCTTCTAATGAAATCTTTAATTGAATAAGCATGTACTTGCTGTTTTTACTGAACCGGAAGGAAACCTCGTGTGAAATTTTATGTGTTATGAGAACAGGGAAAGACTTTCAAACGTTTTGACAATCTGTGACAACTCGGAACGCAACCCTGAAGCACCACCTTGTAAAAGTACTAAAGAAACTGTGCACATAAAACAAACACTATCAGAACTTTGGTTCCTAGGAATCACTGCTGCAGGATTATGTAGCGAAGAACAGGTTGACGAAAAAAATAAATAAAATGGCGGGAAAAAAGGGGGTGTCGCTTCGCCTGCACAGTCATTGGTGCATATATCTAGTCTCCTGAAAAGCAGAAGGGGGCAGAGCTCTGGTAGAGGCACTTGCTCAGGATGTTGCATTAGCGTTGTGTGGATTCTGAAAGTTAAAAATATGGAATCGAACAGCGTTCTTTTTGATCCTGTTCTTGAATTGAAGGAAGGAATACAATAGAGAGAAGGCATGGGGGTGACAGCGCCCACAAAGATGTCATTGCGACATGATCGTTTTAAAAACAAGTGCAGCTCTTAGGCGCCCATTTCTGCATGAGCTGTGTCGCCATCAGTAACGAAACCGATAGACACGGAAATATAAGATAAGGAGAAAAAAATACCCAGGTACGAATGGGATTTTACCCCGGGCCTTCTTTGTGACAGTCGAGTATTCTAACACAGAGCTATGGTGGTACTTGAAGCTCGTTCACAAAGAGACCCTGTACAGGCATCATGTTGGCCAAGGAGTCCTGTTAAGCTATTTGATATAGCGTGACTGTAGAGTAAAAGAGTAAACAGTCATCACACAATTCTAATTGCACAACAAGTGTATGATTAAATTCTTCCCACCCACCGCAAAGCGCTCAGCCATAATCCTTCCTCATCAGCCACATGCAGCATCAGCTAAGTACACATAACACCTTACAGATGTGTAATGGTTATCTAACTTATGCGCAGACAGACGAATAATGGCATAGTTGGTGCTGTCCTACTTCACGAAAATTGTGATTTGCGGCATAGTGTATACCTTGCATGTCTACTTGTATTGACGAGCGAGCGCGCGCTGATAATACGAGTGAGTGCAAAAAACACTTCCACGCCATGTGGCGGTCACCCGTTTTCGGCAAAATGTTATTGGTTCAGCAAGTGAAATGCAGTACATGGCACCTAAGCCATTTAACATCTGAAAAACCAATGTCGAAAAGGCCTACAAGAGAGGCTCTGCCCCAACTCTAGTGGACATATTGCGGTTATTCACGGCGAAGCTGCAGGTGTGTTAAGAAACGTTAAGTCACTAGAAGGCTTCATTTTAATTTGAACATGCTAAATTCATTCAACCACGAGCCGAAACTTTGGTACCAGAGCCCCGCTTTGCTGTTATAAACGCATAATCTTGTGTAAGCTGCAGCCTAAATATTCAGTTAGCATTCAGTTATAGGTTTCCGATGTTTAGCGGCCTACACACTCATTAAGTCGTACGAGCGCAATAGCCATGTCCCCTTCAGCAGATATTGAGCCAACAGTTTTTTACAAAAACACTTAGTTTTCATGCATGCCACGTGCTCATGCACTACGGAACTTATAGCTTTACTCTTCGTTTTTTTCTTTTCATCTAATGATTGGGACCCGAGTGAGGCAATAAAATCATACCACACTTTTGGCGAAAACAGAAGCATGCTTTGGATAGCCAATTTGTTGCGTCTCTTATATCCCCTTAAGAATTTCTATGGCCGATTTAGCATGAAGACGCGATGTGCTCGAGAAACTATTTTGTTCTCAAGGCTCGGAATTCGAGAGATACATTGTTCCGCCAATATAGCACGGCTGTCTGCGCTGGAAGATTTCGTGGCACATTCACTTCAGAAACAAGCAGTGCTGTATGAGTTCGAAAAAGGTAAAGAAATATGTTACTCATTGCGCCAATTATAAAGAATCTGATTACCACGCTACGTTACCTACAAACGCACGTTACTTCTGCTATTACTCCAAGATCAGAAGTTTCAATCAGCGCACCCTCGCTGTAGGAACCATAATTACAATTTAATACATCTCGCATTTACATTTAATATAAAGCCTATGACCAAAACAACTATTTTAGGTGAATTACTGATATAACTAGGAAACTTAGAACATGAGGCCAGACCTATAATGCATGCAGTGGCATAATGTTTACCGTAGGGTTTCATGTGACGTCGTGGCACATGTGAAATTCATTTCTTATTGTCACAGCAAGCAGAACATAAAATTTCATCATCGACTCTCTAAAAAAAACCGTGACCGATCTCTGAACAAATTCACAGTAATTCTGGCAGCGTGCATCTACCAGAAGACAAGACATAAGTGCAGGTCTTGTACGAATAAAGAAATCCCTGAACTATATAGTCCCTCAAAAAATTTATTTGCAGCATAAATAATTTCTGCCCATTTAATCTAGGTGCCGTGAAAATTGCTGCTGTTTATGCGGAGGCGTTCAAGGCAAGCCTCGCTTTTCCAAGTATTCAACAACTTTTCCGTGACCGGTAAGAAGCAGCAGAAGCAAATTTTATTTTAAAAACAGAACTGATAAAATAGCACTATCATATTGTTGGGATGATTTCCTGACAATACGACTTGTAGATTTTAGGCAACATGCAGCTCTCTACCTACATAGTAACGAATACTCTAGTTACTAAATCACCAAAAAAGTACGAACTATACGGTAGCAGTGTTACTTGTAACGTGTTACCGCAAACACTGGAAACAAGACAGGAGTTCTCGCAGTCATCACAACTATTACTCAGTACAAGCTTTCTCGCAATATAGCCTGCCACATAATATACAAGGTGACCGTTCCCCGCTAAGCAGTGCATGATGCATGGGCTATAGACATTTCTAGTGCATCAAATGGAAGTCTTTCATTGTCTTCCTCGCCATATTCCGTATTACGCTAAATAGGTATTCTGTAATGCTACATTATATTACATATTTCATATTATCTTATTTGATATTAAAGTTGTCTCAAAAAAGCTTGCCAAACCCCTACTTTGCTTTCATCCATGCAACCCATTTATAACAATTCTTGGCAACATAACAAAAAAAATTTTACTGGTGCTTAAACATATTTATAAGTATTACAGTAAGCTTGACTGCATAATAGAGTATAAATATTGATTTATAATAGATTTACAAACTTGTGTTCTATAGTTGTCAGTAAAAGACAGGCCAAGCAGTAGGGTAAAGACCATGCTCATGAGCAGCAGACTGTTTAGAGAGGTTTGTCTTTAAAGAAGAAACTTGTTGCACACGAGCTGAGTAATAGTCAAAACAGAAGAAATTCGAAGGTACACTGTCTACATGGTGCTGGCATGGCAGGATGATCATTACATCCACAATTCTCTTGCGACGGGAGCAGAGGACGTTCAGATTTAGAACTTGTCACACTAGTGAACCGAAGTATGGCCATGGTCATCGCCAGTGTTCAAACAAGACCCTTGAGCAGCACAGCAGCTACATACGCAGAGCCTAGGTGAAACAGACGCAGTACAAATCCGGGAACAAGTTAGCACTGTGCATGTAGACGATCTGCAGATTGTCAATTCAGTGGTTCTGCGAGGTACTTGGCACGACAGCCAATTATCTGCTTCTTACCGGGAACAAGTTAGCACTGTGCATGTAGACGATCTGCAGGTTGTCAATTCAGTGGTTCCGCGAGGTACTTGGCACGACAGCCAATTATGCCTGACTCCATATCAGCATAACGACAATTCAAGTTCTGCCTTGGAGTGTTCTACAGTGCAACAAAACGTTCAAGACCGCCTAACTGTGGACCTTGAGCAATGGCATCACGAAGAGAGGAGCAACACAATACAACAGAAAAAAATCAGCGATGCAATTCTTGCCTTAATTGCAGAAGCACCTTCATTATGCAGTGACTAACACCAGGTTATGAGACATTGATCGTCCCCAATAGAGAAATACTGTGAGGTTCTTTTTAGCAAACCCACTTAGGCAATGAACTTTTAAACTTCTTCGAATATGAACCCACTTCCCAGCCCGGAACTCTCCTGTGCTTGTGCTGGCACCCCTCCGAACATTCCTCTGCTTTAAACATAACCTCCTTTTTTACTCTGCTACATAGCCTGGCTTCTACTCTGAACAATATCAAAAAAGTATTTGATATGCAATTTAATTTGCTTCTAGTACCAGTTAACTCATATTTGATTTGGTGCCAAAAAGCGCAATGCTGTCCAAGACACATTGCAGATCTTTAACACACCATATATTAGTGCACATAACCGTCCCCTGCACATGACTTGCGTTCCTACTTGCAGCTTGCCGAAAAAAAAAAAAAAAAATCCTCGCATATTGCCCATACATTTCATACAGGAAAGTCTGCACGAAACCTATCGCTCAAGCAGCACAGCACATATGAATACCGGTAAGAAGCTGGTAAGCGTTAGAATAATGTCACCCGCCGTCTGATCGAAAGCCCTTGCTGTTTCATGAAGCGGTGCAGCCATCCGCAGCCTCGCTCGGAACTCGTAAGGTAGGCCTAGCTCTCTTCATAATCTGCCTGCTTCCACTTGGGCCATCTCTGTCAATACGGCATCAACCCTACTTCCCACTTCTTCAAAAAACTTCCCTAGCTGCGACAATCTTCACATTTTGATGCACGGTGAATGACTGCCACTGAATGCTTTTCATGATGACAGAATAGATTTATCTACGCACGGCGAACAGGTCAATATGCCGAGTTCGAGCGGTATCAGCGAGACAAAAATAGGCTTACAAGTGTTGCTGTGTAGGGGCTTCACGGCACAATGCACATTGCCTTGAAGCTACACTAAATAAAAAAAAAAAACTACGCATGTGCTAATATTCGAATGCTTCGAATATTCAAACGAATAATAGAGTATTCAAATCCACTTCTACTCGAATTTAAGTTATTAAAATTTCGAAGTATTCGCAATGAACGAATAGGTGTACATTAGTCCCGTTTGTAACCTGTACTGGTGGTTTCACTGGAGTGTAAATGTGCCAAGCCAAGAAAGCACCTATTCAGGAAAAATTTGCTCTGCCGCGAAGCCCCACTTCAAATTCAAAGGGGCCCTGCGACACGTTTTGAGGATGGTCAGAAAATGCAGTGGTTCGGTAGACGAGGCTACGGAGAACACTCGAGTCAAGTATTAGAGTGAAGCACGAGGCCTGCAATTCACGGACTCGCTCGCTGGATTTCGTGCCAACCGGTTGTGCCCCCGCGATCTCCGACGACAGCACAGCTCTGGCCAAATGGCTCGCCCTACGCTATCTCCTGACACCGACAAGAGCTCTCGCTGAGTGATGCCTCGTCCTCGGACTTTCCCTACCGTGTCCATCTTTCCTATCTTCTCCTCACTTCTGTATGTGGCTGTCCCTGCACCTCTATTTCTTCCTGCTCTTCCTTCTATCTCTATACCTTCAATTCCTCCCTGTCCTTTTAATCCCTCCTTACCCCCATCCCTCCTGAGCTGCTGTTGAGGTGTCTTCCCCCTGAGAGACAGTTACGGGACTCACTTTTATCTTCTTTTCATTTAAGAATCACTACCCCCCCTGCAATTCACAATAAAGTCTCAGTCGAATATTGCTTTTTCTGACAAACGACGCCACAAGCTCCAAAATCACTAATCATATCCATCTTATAAGCCATTGGCTACTATTATTGAGCGTGGCGCGCTCGGTGGTTACTGGGGCCACCGCGGGATGTCGCGACTTGTCCACATGTATGTGCGCGATTGCACTGAAAAGCCGTGCATTCAGAGAAAATAAAGAAGAGAAAAAGTGTTCAAAGTCACGAGGCGCACGTGACGTATTTTATTTCCTCGCCGTGCCATCCCTGCTTGCTTAGCTTCCAGCGCTTTTGTCAGTATGAGAAGAGAGAATCCAATTACAGTGCTTAGAATACTTAGAACTTCACTAGTACTTCACTAGTAAAAGTTTTTCTGCAGTGAATTTGTGAGGCAACAAGTGTCTTTAGAGGATTTATGCCATGACTATTTAAAAAAAGTGCTGAAAGGCCCCTATAAATAAACATATTACCCTCAAATCGATTCATCACTTTTTTTCAACCTTAAAATCTTGTTATGGTGGCTTACATGCTCTAAGTGTAATAAATTTTAAAATTTCATGTATTTAACAGATTATCACTTGCATCCTACTGAAAATCAAATCGCGCAACTACTCAAAGTGGCTTCAACATCATTTGAACAGAAAATAAAGGCTATTTCATAGAGGCCTTATTCAATTAAAAAAAAAAAAATATTGTGCAGGCTAGTTATGTCATGATAAATATTCCCATTATTCTTTATATGTTATATATACTATTTGAATTCGATTGAAAATTATTCGACCAAAATTACTATTCACTTCAAATTTGCTTCGAACCTAAAATTACCTATTCGTACAAGCCTAAAAAAACAGTGTATTTGGGCACCCCTACTTGCCACTGAAAGTTTTCAATTTTCGGTGCAGGTTATACATGCGAAAATATGGTCAATGGTCAACGAAATTCGTAGACCACAGCATTCATGTAACTGTACAGCTTCATAACATGAACATGCACTTTGGCATATAGATGTCTGGTCTTCACCGTGCACTTTGGTGTGCAGGTTGAGCACAGAAGCTCACAAAAAACAAGCAAAATACCTTGCCAAGTTTTGAATTTTTTTTTGCCAAATGTATTCTTCACGATAAAAGCCATTAAGATGAGCCCTAATAATAATATAATTGTTCTGGTTTAATGTTCCAAAACGACAACATGATTATGAGAGACGCCGTACACCACATGGGGTTCTTTGATATCCACCTACATTTAGGCACATGGGCCTCAAAACATTTTTGCCTCCGTAGAGAATGCGGCTGCTGTGGCTTATGCTCAGCCCTAGTTGTGAAGCACGCAGGCATAAGTTTTATTTGCAAACGTGGTAAGCTGGGACAAAATATCATGATGTTCCAAGTAAGCATCTCCTTAATAATTTTGCAATAGCTTTTGAGGGTTACCAAGACTACTATGTAAACCAAGTCCCTTCATTGAAATTCTGCTATGGATCTCAGATCTTCTGCACAGGAGGTTGTAGAGACTGACAAACACATCAATTTAAGATTACAGTGACTTCTTGAGCAAGACTGGTGCTGCTGGTTGGTGGCGAGACAGTGGCACATCTAATATCCTCTAACATTTGTAACACATTGATGAGATGTCAAAAGTGATGAGCAAAACCTTCATGTAAATAGAAATTATTTTTCATAGACCTGACGCAGCACTGATAAAGTTCATAATGGTTTCAGCTCTACAAGTATGTGTGCTGGTGTCCTCGTTTTGCACTCGGTGTCCAGTGTAACAAATGTGGTTGCACGCCTTTTTTCGAATTTACCATGGTCCTTACATAATACTGGCACCAAACAGTATGTGAAATAATTGAAGTATTCTACATAAGAGTGAAGGAAGAGGGATGAATTAGCCAGTTATCTATCGCAAAAAGCCATAATGAGCATAACTAACTTGTATCCACATTTAAAACATAATAAACATGAATCAGCTTGAACAATTGTGGGGGGTATGCATACAGATATGATATGCAGCACATGTATTAACTTTTTTTATCTTTCCACTTTTCAATAAAATTCACTTGTGAATTTACACTTGTCCTGTCTATCGATTCGCCTATTGTCCAAGCACTGCAAAGCACATAATTAGAAGTACGAATCCCTATCAACTCGCTCAAGCTTTCATTGTCACAAAATTTTTGTGTTGACGGTAACAGCAGCAAGTTTACAGCTATGCATCACCTTACATGGCAACATCGCAATGAATAAATCATGTGCCGTACCTCAGCTCGGTCTCCTGTCGTTCTTGTTCCAAAAGCTCTTCCAAGTACTCTTCATCTTTCGACGCTTTCAACTGTTAAAGAAAAAAATAAAGCCAGGGTCTTGTTAACAGGCACACACATTTATATACACCTGCAAAACAGCTCTCCTTGCAGTTGTGTAAAAAAGTTTTGTGCAAATAAACCGTGAAGGAGGTTTCATAAAAGAAAAAGCTGCCATCCGTTTGATAGTGACATGAAGCTGCAGTAAAGACTTATGCACATATTTCAAAAAGAAAGCTTTGGAGCTATATGAAAAAACGGGCAATTTCACCCAGGAGCATCGAAAACAGCAGCAAAATAATAAATTGTGCAAAAGACATTCATACAATATTTTATCAATATACAGAGCTGTCATAATGCAACACAGCACACAAAACTTCTACTCAGTAGCAAAAACCACGTGCAACATAATGCTGGTGCAGAGGGAGACTTTAGTTTGAGGCAGGAACAGAGGCCACAAATAAATGCAGTAGGGTCATGTCCCTTTACATAAGTGGGCAGAAGATAGGGTCCCGCAGAGACATAAAAATTATTTAGAACAGTTTTTTGCTATTTTGATATTGGGTGGTGTTAGAGCTGTTCATTAAGAGATTTATGGCCATGCCCATCTAATCAGAAGGGCTGGTCCAAATTCAAGAGTCCCCTGGGAAGATCGGGAGATTCGTGTGCAGTGCGGTTGCAATTTGAGCCAAGTAACGATCTTACATTAAAAATGCTATCCAGATTGTCATTCAAAATGACTGCAGAAGACTCCTATTAAAAAAAATTTCTTAATAAAATTGCTGCTTAAATGGAACCACTGCCCCTAAAATGTTTGGTTTCAGACTTGAATATTTTACTCTGTTTATCTCTCAGCAAACAAAGCTCTTCTTAAAGAAAACACGTTTTCCTGGTCCCTTCAGATTTTGTTTAAAAGGAGTCCTTTGTACTCCCAAGAGAAAATAGACTGATGATGACTGTGGGTTACAATATGCAAATAATGAATAGTGATTGCTATATTGCAATATCATACAGTGAATAAGTACAAAATGAGAAAATGACTTTACCATGTGCCGATGTATGCCTATGTTATTTACTCAAATTATAATTGCATTCTTGATTTTTATCATTCAAACTTTTTCTCATTAACTCTTTTATTTGATGACTTCCTTCACAGTTATCATGGAAGTGAGTGGCAAGAGTAAAGGCACGTTTACACTTGAGAGACACGACATTTCTACATTGATTTTGGTCTTCGGGCTGTCATAGGAAGTGTCTTTTGTCTTGTTGTATGTTTATGTACACTGCAAAGACACAAACAGTCCGCCGGTGGTCTCGCGAAGACTCCGCCCGCGCCTTGTCGTGCTCGCAGTTTTTCGTTGGCCAACTGTAGTCACATTGGAGGCACACGCAGCGACACTGACTAAACTTGCAGCCCTGCACCTCATTTTCAGCCAAACTCACTGCTGTGCCATTGTCACCAGAACCCACAATGACGAGGGATGGGGTGGTTAGATGCAATAGGAAAGAGAAGACTTCAGTTGGGTGCTCAAGCTACCTATTCAGATGCCGAAGAAGCCTTGGAGAGGGCATTGTTAACTTCCCCAAGATTTCCTGCTTTGTGGGAAATCTTGGGGGCATATTGTGGGAAAATCTTTGTGGGAAAACAGACATTGGGCAAATTTTCGCTCAGCCGCAGATCCCCCGCAGACATGCTGATGACCGGTCTGCGGATGCGTTTTGCTTGTGTTTTCGGTCTGTCATCATCTTACATTACAATGAAATGCCGTCTTTTGAGGTGGCGGCGGGCGATTCGTCAGCAAATGGTTTGCGCCTGCCTCGTTTTTTCGTCGGGGTCATGTCAGTATCGTGCTGGTCTAGTGTAAATGCGCCTTTATGAGAACAATACACGTTCGCCATATCACAAGGCACCATATAATGTTACATTTACTGTACTTATAAACATGGCACAAGCAGAACGAACATGCACCCTCGCGAAGAGGCATCAGAACAAACAACAGCACGTCGTGTGCAATGCACCCATGCAACCCCTGCATCTTCTTATGTTACCCATAACTTCACAACAAAGTGCTTTGCTTTGCTGTCACCGACATGGTACAGGATTTCATGACGCATTTGACTTCTGAAGCACCTAGCACTGTCTGATGTTACCTGATCATCTGATATTTGCAATAAGTTCCTACACCCCACTTTTTTTTATGTCATTCTGGTTTCAAACTTTTAAATAAAGTGAGTATTGATTGCAATTGCTTACACTCATGAAGTGGATCAACAGAGTTTGTGAAGTAAGCGAGCACTTCACTGGCAGTGTCAATGCCACTGTCACGGACGGCTATTTTCGGCGACACCGCGTCACGACAATTAACGGGCGCCGTACTCCCCGACTGACCGTGAGAAACGGCGGCACATGAAAGGGAACTGATAAGTGCAAAATGGGGGTGCTCTCCTTAGAACGTCGCCGCCGACAGTTAATCCTTTTGTAACCGTGGCGGCGTCTGCAAGGTCGTAGAAGGCCGCGGTATACCCCGTACAAGGATTAGACTACAAGACGTCCGGCTGAGAGCTAAGTGGTTGACCGTTCCCACGGAGAAAAGCGTGGGAAACGCTCTGGTGGCCAAGCCGTATGACAACAACCCGACAGGTTGTCACTCTCGCTAGTTGCGGGCCCTCTCCCTATTAAAAAGGGGTGGGGTCAAAATATTTTTGGGGCGGAGTTTCCCCTCAATTAAACGCGCATGATTGGACCCAGGTTGAAATCTCTTGTCCCCAAGGAAGAGAGCGAGGAGACACGAGGGGGATTTAAGCGCAGGATTTTGCCCTGCTAGGCAGACTAGTCGCTGACCAAGATGGTGTAGAAACAGATCAACAAGCATCTCTTCTAGAAGTTTTTAGTGTGGCTCTGTATCGGCTGGCCACCTAAACTTAGCCGTTCGTCTAGCTGTGACGCGATATTAACGTCCGCAACGTAGACATCGGAACTTCGCCTCGAGTTAGCTCAACCTGCTCGAAGTCACCTGCAAGCACTAGCCTCCCGGAGCCACCAGCGTTGCAACACCGCCGACATCGCAGTCGTGCCAGAACTCTCTTCGACTTCTCGCATCCGATCGTCGGGGACACAATGCTGCCGGTCATCACACGTATGCCTTCACCTGTTTATATCTTCGAACTTTCTCCTCCGTCGTTCTATTCTTGTTAGTTTGTGTAGTTTGTAATAGTTCTCTCTCGTAAGCTGATTTATTGTTTCTGTTATATATTTCTGTAATTGTATCAAGTGTCGATGTATTTTGTTAGTTGTATTGAAGTGTTGTATTAGATCTCGTGTGCTGCCATATCACTAGAGTAAAGTTTGTTTTGTTTTCTCACGTCTCTGATCTCTTCACTGTCTCTGCTTGCGTACGGAACGAACCGACCTGCTGTCATTCCCGTCGCCGACTTCGCGCTGGCGACGCTAGAGTGGCAGCTTGTAACAACACTGGCGTCCGCGAGACAGGACGTTCCGTACAAGAGTAAGACAGTGAGGGGTGAACGAGAACCGTGTGGACAGCGTGGTGATAGGGCCGCACAGTTGAAGCGGTTGTATCCTGCAATGATTGCGCTGTTTTTATAGTGGCATTATAGTGACAGTTGCAGTATGGAGTGTATGGATTTTGATAAGTGGATCGCGTACGGTAAACAGTTAGGCCTCGAGGGCGCCGAACTGAGACAATGTGTTAAGGAGCAGCAGGAACAGGCGCAGGCGTTAGCCAGAGAAGAGCGGGCACGGGCCCGGGAGAAAAGGGAAAAAGAAAGGGAGAGAGAACGCGAAGAAAGAAAGAGAGAGCGCGAAGAAAGGGCGAAAGAACGAGAAGCGGAAAGGAAAGCGGCAAGGGAAGCCGGAGAACGGGAAGTGCAGTTACTGCAATTAAAGATTCGCCTCATTGAGGGTAGCAGGGTGAGCCGATCCAGCAGTGAGCACGGCGATGCCGGCGAGAAACTGTCATTTGAGCGAGACACATGGTGTCAAGGGCTACTCACAGTTCTGCCTTGCGAGGCAAATGAAGCTGTTGCGCGACGCAGTCAGCAGAACGCGAACAACGAGGTAGTTAAGGCAGAGATGTTCCGGACGTTCGGAACTTTGGTCTCGACAAAAGAAGAGCAGCTCAGACAAGAGTCTGAAAGAAAGCGCGAAACAGAAAGACAGCAGTCTGAAAGCGAGGCGCATCGGAAAGCGCTGGACGTTAAAGTGTGGCAGGAAACGCCAGAACCAGAAATCGCGCTAGAAAAGGGCCCGCATATTCTCGAATGCCTCCATATAAATGATGTAGAGAACGAGGCCTTGGCCGGTCTCGAGGTAGAGACAGTATCAAAAAACGGTCCTAGCGAGGATGAGGTGTGTGCCAGCAGCCCTAATGGACTCAGTAAGAAGCTGGAAACCATCCTCATGCCTCGAGAGGACGTCTCGAGATCGTCACATGCAGATAGGGTTAGCACAGTGGCTAAACACAGCGAGAACGCGACGCTTCAGGAGTGCAGCGATGCCATCGGAGAGGGCCCAGTTAATGGTTTCATCAGCATTAACAAAGATAATTTGGCCCGGCAGTCCGTCGTGACACCGAGTTCAAAATATTTGAGCGTGGGGCAAAATGTAGCACAAGCTCCAACGAGCTTCCCAACCACTCAGTTCCCGACGCGACATGATGATGGCATTGAGAGAAAGAGGGCAAGCAAACATCGCAGGAAAAGGAAGAAGCGGAAGCGTTCGGCACTTTGTGAGCCTAGGGCAGGTCCCACTCCTTCCCAAAAAAGACGACAGGCTAGGTCATGCATCCGTTTCAAGAAACGTCAATGGTGGCGTTCATGGAGACACAAGCGGCGAGCCAGGTGTAGAGGGGGAAAAGGAGGTGCGTCCGAACGAAGGCCCCCCGAACGAAAGGCGCGGTTCATTTCGACGACTTCAGGAAAGCGGCCTGCCCCGAAGGTTCAAAGTCGAAAAGGCACAACGGCTAAGTACTGCGTGGGGGCGACCACAAAGACACTATTACCCAGGCTTCCC